TTGCAGTTGTCATTGTTGGTTAGCTGGCCCGGGTCTGGTTCGAACCTGCCAACTTCAGTGTATGTGGCTGACACTGTAACCACTGTGCTATGGGCACCAAGCCTGTCATCTTTTCTTTGGCATCTATATTTCTCTTTATATATATAGATAGTAGTCATAAGCTACATCATTTATACAACTTTTTATAATTATAAAAATTCTTAGCCAGGTGTGGTGTCTCATGCCTGTAACCCCAGCTACTTGGGAGCCTGAGCCCAGGAGTTTGACCTTGCATTAAGCTATGATGATGCCACTGCATTCTAGCCTGGGCAATAGAACAAGACCCTGTCTCTAAAAAAATTATTTTCAAATATCATTTTTCATGGCTACATAATATTTTTATACTATGGCATCACCATTAATTATCTATTGTTAGACATTTAATTTTTGTTGTTGTTTTGCAATTGTAAATATAACTTAAGGCACATTTTTGCATGTAAAGCTTTTTCTGAATCTTGGGTTTTGCTTCCTCAATGTAGAGTATATAGCACTTACGTGCACATCAGGTTCTATGGGAGGCCTCAGGGCCACTTGGCCAGACCTTCCTAGGCCAGAGGAAGGCAATATGAGACCTTTCCACATAGCACTGATTTAGCAGAATTCAATTGTGAAAACTAGAAGATTCTCTCATTATATGCAGAAGGGCTGCGGTGATTTGCACTCTCACCAGGATATATGGCTGCTGACTTCGCCTCAGTCACACTTGCAGTGGGTAATTTTTAAAGTGTTTACATGCTGGTCCTCTGCCTGGATACCCTGTCCCCACCTCTACACACCACATAGGGCTGAGACACACTGGGGAGGAAGGTGAGGGACACAGGGCCCAACCCAGCTGGATCAGAGCTGACTGAGGAGCCAGGCACATGGCATCTGCCAATCGGGAGAGTTGGGATCAAAAGAGGCAAATTAGTCACTAGAACAGGTGCATGGGAGGCCCCATAGTTGAGACCAGAGGTCAGCAGGCAAGAATCCAGGGACACAGAGTCTCGGCCTGGACTGGAAACATCTGGGCAGGCCCATTTGCAATTATAGCGGGTCTAGGGGAGGCTTGGTCACTAGGATGCTCAAAAGAATCCCTATCCCCCAGATTTTGCAGTCAGGATGGAGAATGGCCACCCAGAACTCACAGGTAGGGTCAGGATTAGGATCAGGGTTAAGGTTAGGGTCAGGGTTAAGGTTGGGGATAGGGTCCATCAGGGATAGGGTCTATCAGGGTTATGGTTAGAGTTAGGGTCAGGGATGCTCTCCAGGCTCCCCACCCAGCTTGAGCCCCCCTTCCCTGAAATCCGCACAGTTAGTCACCCCAGCTTGTTCTCCAGTGTGGCCAACCGATTATCTCCATTTTCCTTTAAAAATAATTGTTTTGGACTCTCTTAAAGCAATATGTGCTCACTGTAGCAAGTCACAAAAACAAAGAGAAGTATGGAGAGAAAATGGATGTTTTGCATTTTTTCCAGCCAGTGATTTACATGGCTTTCCCGCGGTGCTCAGCCTCTGCGGGTTCACAGACACAACTGGACTGCTCTTCTCTCTCCAGGGCGAGGGTCCGTTCAAGAGGCTGAGTTAGTCCTCAAACTCCTACAGCTTTGTCCTTTTGTAACTGAACAAACATTTATTGAGTACTTACTAGATATCAGGGAATCAAATTCCAGTGCAACCTTCTAGAACTTTCAGTCCAAAGCAGGAGGAGGCATGAGACCCTCCAACAGAGTGTTTCTTTGTTTGTTTGTTTTGGCCTGGGCTGAGCTTGAACCTGCCACCTGAGGTATATGGGGCCGGCACCCTACTCCTTGAGCCACAGGTGCCACCCCAACAGAGCATTTTAAAGCCCTCATTCACAAACCCATGTGTCTTTTTTCTTTTTATTTTCCTGGAGATTAATGTGTAGGCTGTTCTCTGTTGAGGGTTTCTTCATTTCAGACAATTTCTTAGGCTTTCGTGGCATTCCAGGGAGGCCATGACCATGCTCTCTGCCACTTTCTGCACCTCCTCTCTCTCCCCAGATGGCCTAAGGAAAGTCACCCTTTTCCTTTGACTCCAGGAGATCTGGATGTGCCAGCTCTACCCAGTGCAGCACGTTCTAACCTGGGGGCTCCTTTGTCCCTTTCCACTCTTGGCACCGAGTCACCCAACTCTCCCCTCCCAGATGTGGGCAAGGCAGCCCTTGGGCCCAAGTCCATGGGGGCAGGTCCGGCCCTGAAAGGCGCCTTCGATGGGAAGTTGTCTCCCTGATTAGCCTGAGTTCTGCTGCTCTTAGCAGAGCTGCAAGGGCTGGGCCGAATGGTGCCTACGTCTGGAAAGCCAACTTCAGATGAACTTAGAGCTGACAGGGGAGCCACCAGCCCCCGATGCCAAACTCAAGGCTCTGTTTCCAGCAACCTGAATGATCCACTCATACAAATGCAGAGTTAAATTAACTCCGTTCAAAGAGGGCTTGCCACCTGCACAGCCTGGTGGGGGCTGTGAGGACGCCTGAGACTTGGCCCCCACTCTCAGTTACAGCCTGGGCTAGGGCGAGGCAGTGTAGCCAGGGTTCTCTCGGGCTGTGTGGAGAAAGGGGAATCCAGGAAGACTTCTTAAAGGGGGTGGCATCTGAACGTGGGCTTGAGGGAAGGGAAGAGATAGGGTGGGCCGAAATAAGCAGGGAGGGAGTGAGCAGAGCGCCCAGTGAGACCTGGGGCAAAACATGGCAGAAACCAGGGTGAGCGTGGAAAGGGGGCAAAGCCCAGAGGGGAAGCAGCAGATTCCTTTGAGAAAGGGGAGGTCGCTGAACAGAGTCCTGGTGGAGCCAATGTCCAGGACTAGGGGTCCAAGAGGGGCACAGAAGATTCCAGAGATGCAGACAAGAAATGGGAGGCAAGAATAGGAATAGAGAAAGCAGAAGGGACCAAGCAGGGCAGAGGCCAGCATGGGAACCTGGTGGTGGCTGCGATGTGGGAGGGGTGGCTGACATGTCTCCCAGGTCACACTGCTTTGCAGGTGCTGCCTATCATGTGATGGGGAAGACCCTGGCTGCGTCTGGACCACAGTCTGAGTAGCTGAAGCAGGACATGGGGAACATAGTGGGTCATGGAGAGAGGACAGAAAAGGCCCTGAGCAGCACCAAGGCTGGCACCCTGGAGGACAGTGGTGACCGTGATCCCCAGCTGGAGCTCTTGCAGGTGGCTTCTGAGAGGTAAATGAGGACTGGCAACTCAGACAATGGAGGCCATGGTAGAAGGGAGGGTGGCTTCCCACAGCTTGGGGAGGTCCCTGACCTGGCCACTGGAGGGGCCCCCAGCAAAGCTTTTCTTTTAAAAGCTGCACACACAACACACACCTGAGTGGGGAGAGGCAGGACCTTTGATCTAACAAGGACTATCGGCCATCAGGGGGACAGCCGAAGGAGGCGCTCTCTTCCCCATCCTCCTGTGTTCCTTTTCACTTGTCCCTGCAGCCACAGTTGAGCCACCATCCTTTCCTTGATTTGAGGGGCCATCCGGGTCAGGCATAGCTGTGTCTCCCCCATCTCTGTGCAGGGCCTGGTGTGGGGGGTGCACTTAGAGGGTGTGTGCTGCCCAGACGCATGACCTAGATGTGCGTCCCTGTCCCACCTGACCACACAGCGCTTTGCTTTGCTTTTTACTTTTTTTTTTTGCAGTTTTTGACTGGGGCCGGGTTTGAACCTACCACCTCCGGTATATGGGGCCAGCGCCCTACTCCTTTGAGCCACAGGCACCACCCTTTTTTTTTTTTTTTTTTTTTTTTGAGTCAGAGTCTCACTCTGTTGCCCAGGTTGGTGTGCTGTGGTGTCAGCCTAGCTCACAGCAATCTCAAACTCCCGGATTAAGTGATCCTCCTGCCTCAGCCTCCTGAGTAGCTGGGACTACAGAAGCCTGCCACAATGCCTGGCTAATTTTTCTATTTTTAGCAGAGACAGGGTCTTGCTCTTGCTCAGGCTGGTCTTGAACTCTTTTTTTTTTTT